CCTCCTGCGTGCACAGTTGGGGCGGAGGTTTCTTTATTTTATGTCGTTGGGAGGGGGGGGGGGAACCAGTTTTCAGACCCTTTGACTCCAGTGGGAAGAGGGGTCGTTGGTCTTGGCCTGCCGTCGTTTGTCCAGAAAGAGAGGTCAGGGTGTGGCCGTAGATGGCTCTCTCTACTCACAACAGCCCTGTGGGGTAGGCGAGACTGAGAGGGAGGGTGGAGAGCGCCAGACGATCAAGATGGGTATCCCTTGATGGCATTTGCATTTTTAAATCAGTTTACATAAGAACATAAGAGAAGCCAATGTTGGGTCAGGCCAATGGCCCATCCAGTCCAACACTCTGTATCACACCGTGGCCAAAAATACCAGGAGCCCTTGGGAGGTCCAGCAGTGGGGCCAGGACACCAGAAGCCCCTCCCACTGTTGCCCCCCCCCAAGCACCAAGAAGACAGAGCATCACCTGCCTCAGCCTGTGAGTTCCTATCTATACCTCGTAGCTAATAGCCACTGATGGACCTCTGCTCCACATGCTTATCTAATTCCCTCTGATAAGAACATAAGAGAAGCCAGTGTTGGATCAGGCCAAAGGCCCATCCAGTCCAACACTCTGTATCACACAGTGGCCAGAAATACCAGGTGCCATCAGGAGGTCCAGCAGTGGGGCCAGGACATTAGAAGCCCTCCCACTGTTGACCCCACCCCCAAGCACCAAGAAGACAGAGCATCCCTTGCCCCAGAGTCCCTATCTATACCTTGTGGCTAATAGCCACTGATGGACCTCTGCTCCATATGCTTATCTAATTCCCTTTTGAAGCCGTCCATGCTTGTAGCCGCCATCAGTGAATTCCATGTGCTTATCACTCTTTGGGTGAAGAAGGGCTTCCTTTTATCCATTCGTGCTGCTGTGATGCTGTCTTTCTCTATGCTTGTTTGAATGTTGCTTGGAGAAGATTAAAGCAGTGCAGAAGTGCAATGACTGTGGAGCCCCCACGAAAGGGCACTAAGCATATGCGGAGGTGCAAAAGTATGCTAGCGCTGTTGAGGTGTGAAAACGGCACCAAATGTGGACAGCTTTTTTAAAGATGGTGTCAGAAGGTTGGGACACTGGTGGGAAAGACAAATGCAGATTCGACCCCTGTTAGTCTGTCTGTAGCAGTAGGAAGGAGTCCAGGAGCACCTGAAAGACTAACGAAGTCTGTGGCGGGGGGAGGAACTTTGGTGAGTCATGGCTCACTTCTTCAGATACCTTCGCAAGGCTGATGGATTTCCATTTGGTACGGCTACATGTGGTGCCTTCTACGGAGGCAGATCTCAGTTCGGGATGGGTAGCAGCAACCCACTATTTCTCCAGCCCCTTCATCCATTATTATTTTTTTTTTATTTTTGCATTGTGTGTATGTGTGCCCATGCCTGGAAGTTATGGCGACCTGTGGTGACTCCTACTGGGTCATGGAGGACGTTCAGAGAAGTGGCTTGGTGCAGCCTTCCTCTGGCCTCCCGGCCCTGGTGTTCTCTGGAGGTCTCCCATCCAAATACTTTCCAGGGTAGGTAGGTAAGTAGGTAGCTTCCAAGATCTGACAAGATCAGGCTTTCCTGGGCTATCCAGGTCAAGGCAGCACCCATCATTGCATGGATACTGAGCCCAGTTTAAATTAGATGCTGGGCAAATGCAAAATTAAATGATAATTAAATAAAAGCCAGCAGGAGAGAGCCTTCGGAGAAGTATAGTGTTACTGACGGGAGAGCTGGGTTTGGGCGCAGTAGCATTATAGGGACCAACAAGATTTTTTTTGGGGGGGGTATAAGTGTTCGAAGGTCAGCGCTCCCTTCGTCAGATACAAGGTGGAATGGCTCTCTATTCCTCCTTGTATCTGATGAGGGAACTGTAGAGAGTTTATGTCCTGGAAGTCTTGCTGGTCTCGAAGGTGCTACTGGACGCAAATCTAGTTGTTGTACTGCAGATGAACACGGCTCCCCTCTGAAACGCTCTGGGTCCGTTGGGAGAGGCTTATGTGGGGCTGTGTGTGAGTGGTTGACTGCTGTCTTCTCACTTCCGAGGGCTTCCTCTTTTCCTGCCGCCGTACACTTTTCCTAGCATTATCGTCTTTTCCAGCGACTCTTGTCTTCTCGTAATGTGACCAGAGTACGATAGCCTCAGTTTAGAAGAGAGAAGAAGAGATTGGATTTATACCCCGCCCTTCACTACCCAAAGGAGTCTCAGAGGGGCTTACAAACTCCTTTCCCTTCCCCTACCCCACAACAGACGCCCTGTGAGGGAGATGGGGCTGAGAGAGCTCTTGACAGAAACTGCTCTTTTTTCAAGAACAGCTCTTATCAGAACTATGGCTTGCCCAAGGTCATCCAGCCAGGTGCAAATGGAGGAGTGGGGAATCAAACCTGGTTCTCCCAGATTAGAGTCCGCACACTTAACCACTACACCAAACTGGCTTAGTTTAGTCATTTTAGCTTCTAGGGAGAGTTCAGGTTTGATTTGATCTGGAACCCACATTTGTCTCTTTGGCGGTCCCGGTATGTATAGAATTCTCCTACAGTACCACATTTCAAATGAATCAACTTTCTTCATTGTCCAACTTTCACACCCATACATAGTAATGGGGAATACTAAGGCAAGGATTAACTTGATCTTGATCACCAATGACACATCTCTACACCAGTGTTCCCTCTAAGCTGAGTTAGTGTGAGCCAGCTGACAGTTTTTTAGGCTCCGGCTCACCCATTTTTGTCTTGGCTCAGGAAGGAGGGCTCCGGAGCAAACTGATTTATGCAGCGGCCAAATTGCTGGCTCACAATTTTAATGCCGGTAGCTCACAAAGTAGATTTTTTGCTCACAAGACTCCACAGCTTAGAAGGCACACTGCTCTACACTCGAGAAACGTTTCTAGCTCTTTCATGGCTGCCCTTCCTAAGTCTCAATCACCTTCTGATTTCTGGGTTGCCTTCTCCCTGTTGGTTGATGATGGAGCCGAGGCAAAGAAAATCCTTAACCATTCCAACTTCTTTGTCGCCAGCCTTAAAGTCATGTAGTTCCTCAGCAGTCATTGCTTTTGTCTTCTTCATGTTCAGTTTTGTTTTAACCTTTGTCTGTTTTAACCTTTAGCAGTAATCATTTCAAGTCTTCACTATTTACTGCTAGAAATGCGGTGTCATCTGCTTATGCCATTAATGCTCCCTCCACCAATTTTCACTCCACCTTCATTTAAATCCAATCCAGTTTTCCTCGTGATATATTCTGCCTATAGATTGAAGAGATAGGGAGAAAAATACATCCTGGTCTGACCATTTATTTATTTATTTATTAGGTTTGTATCCCGCCCTCCCAATGGCTCAGGGTGGCTAACATGCGGCGAAGCCGAGTTGAATAGATAAAATACAATAGAATAAACAACATTAAAACCCATACAATAATCAAGGTGCTCTGATCTTCCTATGTAAATCACCCAAGATGGGAAACAATGAACCCAATTCGGCGGCCAGCTGTCTCAATAGTCTCCAGCAGCGCTGTTCTATGCGCTTCTGCCAGGGGATGCTTGCCCCCCATGATAGGGGCAGACGATGAAGCACTACCACGGTGGTGGGATAGTGGCGGCGGCGGCTCCTACTCAGAAGCCTGGCGGAAGAGCTCCGTCTTACAGGCCCTGCGGAACTGCACAAGGTCCCGCAGGGCCTGGATCTCTGCCAACTGGAAACCATTCTGTTTCTCCGTATTCTGTCTTAACAGTAGCCTCTTGTCCGGAGTACAGGTTGCACATCAAAATAATCAGATGCTGTGGCACACCTTTTTCTTTTAAAACCAACCATAGTTTTTCAGGGGAAAATATCTTATGGTCATAGTGGACAGTTCAATGAAAGTGTGTCCACCCAGTGTTCTTTGCTGTGAAAAAGACAAAATTCTATGGTAGGGATTATTAAGTAATGGATTGGGAATAAAACCTGCAATATTGTAATGCCCTTGTGTAGATGTATGGAAGAAGTACAGAGGAGGGCAACCGAGATGATTTGCGGGTTGGAGCCCCCTTCCCTTTGAGGAAAGGCTGAAGAGTCTGAGACCTTTCAAGTTCGAAAAGGGTTGACTAAGGTGGAACATGAGAGAGGTTGATAAAATTATGCAATGGGTGAAGAGAGCGGACAAAGGGAATTTCTTTTTCGCCCTCTCCTAAAATACTAGAACTCGAAGGCATCCAATGAAGCTGGTGGGCATTAGGTTCAGGACGGACAAAAGGAATTACTGCTTTACACAGAGAGTAATTAAAACGTGGGATTTGCTGCCAGAGGATGTAGTGATGGCCACAGGAATAAACAGCTTTCAAGGGGGATTAGATAGATTCATGGAGGAGAGGTCTGTCAGTGGCCTACTAGCCATGGTGGCTGAGGGGAACCTCCACATTCAGAGGCACTAAGCCTCTGAATCCCAGAGCCAGGAGGGAGGATCAGGAGAAGGTCTTGGCCTCTATGCTGTGGTATAGGCCGTCCAAAGGAACTGGTTGGCCAGTGTGTCAGACAGGATGCTGGACTTAGGTGGACCATCAGTCTGATCCAGCAGGGCTCTTATGTTTTTAAGATCCACTCAGTCAAAAGCTTTGCTTATGTAGAGATCTGTAAAAACAGGAGTGTTACAAACACCCCCTGACACATATGTATAAAATGTTGGATGGGGGTTATTGAGAGGATCTTTAGAGCCCTTCTATCCACCTCAAATAGACCTTAAAATAAGCATCTCTGCAACAGGATGCCGTCAGTTAATTTAAACAGCAACCAAAAAGGAAAACACAGTGTAGGCCAGTGTTCCCTCTAAGCTTAGTTAGTGTGAGCTAGCTCACAGTTTTTTAGCCTCCAGCTCACACATTTTTGTCTTAGCTCAGGAGGGATGGCTCCAGAGCAAATTAATTTATACAGTAGCCAAATCACTTGCTCATAATTTTAATGCCAGTGACTCAGACAATAGAATTTTTGCTCACAAGACTCCTCAGCTTAGAGGGAACATTGGTGTAGGTATACAAGTGTCAGGGTCTACAACATGCAGGTCCACGCACACTCTTCAGGAAAGTTATGCTTTATTGGAATACAAGTTTGTTGCCAAGTGGTACAGGAACATTGTCAGGGATAACGGTTAGTGCAAGGAACTCCATACATATACTCTGATGCCTCACCTAGCTAAGCAAATGAAATCCAACTCGCGCGGGGGAATCCTCCCGGCGGGACATTACATCATAAGCAGGAGACTCTCTCCAACCCGAGAGCAGAAATATTCACACCGATAGTAGAATACAGTAGTAACAAGATATGTGTAAATACCTGAAACAATATATCTTCAAATAGGTTATATGCACTCTTGTGAGTTACAGCAACACATCTCCTGTGTTAAAACATGTAAAAGTCAAGTACCATAAGTATAAACAGGATATAAACTGAAGTATAAAAGAATAATGATGACAAAAACTAGCAAGAAACTTGCTAATTTTTGTCATCATATCTTGTTACTACTGTAATTATTTTACCTTACACTGTATGTGTTGTTATTGTTATGATGTAATTTCTTTCATGTTTAATTACTGAGGAAGTTCTTCGAAACGGAGTTCTTAATATCCGGATTCTTCATTTATCATTCTTCATACGCCTTCATCTCAAGAGGAAACTTTTCTACTTTAAGATTGGACTTGATTGTGCTTATATGATTGTATCAATGCTTTGGTCTTTATTGAACCAGTGTTAGCGTCTTTTTCACACAGTCAGTTAATTTAAAAGCAGTCTTAGCATATGGACAGCAAAACAAGCAGCATCCTCAAAGCTGAGGAAAACTCGTCAGCCAGCCAGCGAGGAAACAGGGTGGGAATGGCTGAGCAGAGCAAGGGTGGGCAATTAGATGGCACCCGGCAAGGAAAACAGCTTTACTCCTGAGCATCAGTTGTTGGCCTCTGAGCATGTATGGGGTGCTTTTTCCTTCCCTGATGAGTCGGTGCAGTGAGCCCATTCCCTGAGACAGCATTTTCCGTCCTGCCTTTCCTTGTCTAAAAGTTGGCCTTGGGGTCCCAGGCAGTGTTCCCTCTAAGCTGAGTTAGTGTGAGCTAGCTCACAGTTTTTTAGCCTCCGGCTCACACTTTTTTGTCTTAGCTCAGGAAGGAGGTCTTCAGAGCAAGCTAATTTATGCAGTCGCCAAATTGCTCGCTCACAACTTTAATGCCAGCCGCTCACAAAGTCGAATTTTTGTTCACAAGACTCCACAGCTTAGAGGGAACATTGGTCCCAGGCATCGGCAGTTTTTTTTTTTTTAAATTATAGTCTCGTTTTAGATACACGATATAGACGTGTTCTATGACAGTCTTACAGATCACAGTGAGTCACGCAGGCCGTAGGCAGCTGGCTGTCAGTGAGTCAGGTAAATTATGAACGATTATATCTTTAAATGAAGTGATCTGCTCAGCAAGAGAAGCTAACTATGAATCATGGTAGGACACAAAAACATAGTTGTAAAATTATTCTCCATCTCCTCGCCTATGCTGTCATTATCTATGATAACACCTCTATCTCTTACCTCAACACATACCTTTTCTTCTACACATCGTCACCTGCAAGTGTAGTTTCCGGTTTTTCATTTTCCTGTCCCATTTAGCCACATTTGCCCGAAACTGTACGTTAAACGGCACTTCTGTGCCGATACCTTTGGAGCCTGTTTCTCAGAAGAAAAACAATAGCACAGTTATACAAATCTATAGCGAGGTGCAGCTTTTCACCCCAGAAGTCATAAAAGGGTTGCCGCTCGTTTGAAAAACTGGATTTATTCTACTTCTTCACGATGTACTAATTCTTTTCATTTTGTCCTCTGCCGGATTTTAGTGATCTATAGTGTTAAATCCTGTGAAAGATTTTCAGCTGCTTACAATCCTTGTCTTTGCCAGCAGTAAGTCTACGTGGTAGAAAGTGTCGCCAAATTGCAGTTGACTTCTGGCCACTGCATGGGGTTTTTCAAGGCAAGAGACATTCAGAGGTGGTTTCCATGCCTGCCTCCACGTCACAACCCTGGTATTCTTTGGTGATCTCCCAAATACTAACCAGGGCTGACCCTGCTTAGATTCTGAGATCTGTTCCCCAGTTGCCTTTCTTCTGTAGCTATCTGATCTCTTCTTGTACCGCCTCCAGTCTCCATAGCCATATTAGCTGTTTGTGGCGCTTGTTGCAACAATTCGGTAATATTGTCCAGTTGTTTCCCATTGGTTTTAGTTTTGCGTCAGTGTGTTCCAATATATCTGATTTCAATGAGGAAATAATATCAATCCGTTTGTCATTTTGTGACTGTGTCTCATTTTCCTCCCATGATTTCTGGCTCGGTGGCCATTTTGTTCTTCGGAGTGGTCGTAGTTAGAGTTTGCAGGACCGCTTCTGTTTTATTTAGAAAAGCTTTTAGGTCAGTCACTTGTAGGTTTGTTGATGCCTTTTTCTTGCTGCTGGGTTTTCCCGTACCTATAGAGCCTTGAGAGAGATGCAAATTTAAGAGCAGCTGCTGTTATTAACGGGGGTAGAGGGTGCGGAGAACTAACACCACGCCATGGCCCCAGCTTCTGAGATCTGATGAAATCAGGCTAGCCTGTGCTAGGGTAGTAAGTATATACCATATCATAGATCTGTGTTCAATGGGAACATTATCACAGACGTTAGGATCCTCAGGAAAATAGAAACCAGCCGTTTGATGTATTTCACACAACCCTCTTTCCAAAAATTTTTTTACTGTCGTGTGGCTCCCCCACATGTGTTCGACATTAGCTGTACGGGAGCCACATTTCCCCCATGGTTGGTTCCAGAGATTCAGTTTAATCTATGAGAAGTCAGGACCTTGTAGCGTGATGACCAATGTTCCCGCTAAGCTGTGGAGTCTTGTGAGCAAAAATTCTACTTTGTGAGCTACTGGCATTAAAGTTGTGAGCGAGCGATTTGGCTGCTGCATAAATTAATTTGCTCTGGAGCCCTCCTTCCTGAGCCAAGACAAAAATGTGTGAGCTGGAGGCTAAAAAACTGTGAGCTAGCTCACACTAACTCAGCTTAGAGGGAACACTGGTGATGACGTGAGATCTCTCTGTGGCAGAGAAGATTCCACTAGATGCCTAACCCTCCCTATGGTATAGCTCCTTGCGTTCCCTATCCCCAGGTGTTTTAATGTCCCCTCTGACTCTTGGGAAGTTCCTAACTCTAGTCCTCCTGCTTCTCGTTGTGACCAATGTCAGGTGATTTCCTGTCATCTGCTTGCAGCTCATTGGGTCCCAGGTGGGGACTGGACGGAGATCTCTGCCAAAGCAAGTCGGGGAACAGATGAAACTGTTGTGGGGTTCAATTGGGCCACAGAAGATGGGGCTGTCTCAGTGTGGTGTCGTGGTCAGAGTCTAGGATCTGGGAGGCCCAGGTTTGAACCCCACTTTGCCGTGGAAGTTCTCTGGGCGACCTTGGGCCCATCGCACACTGAGCCCAACCTACCTCAAGGGGTAAAACTGAGAAGGTGCATAACAGTGGAACAATGGAATTTTTGGCCCCTGTGTGACACAGAGGGTGCGGTCAGACGGCGTCTGGGAGCGGGTTAAACTGCTCCAGCTCCGTGCGGGTTTTTTTTTAACCTGGAGAATTGCGATCACACTCACCTCCTTGCTCCGGATCACTGCGCAGCCACATTGCTCCCCGCCGCCCACACGCGTCGGTGTTGTTTTTCTCTCTCTCTCAGTTTGGGCACGCGCACAGGCAGCCATCTGTAGAACAGCGATTTCTTCAACCCGACTGCTGTACTTCCCTTTAAACTTTAAAGGGACACTTCCCTTTAAACTTTAAAGGGACACTTCCCTTTAAACGTTTACCGCCGAAAATGGCCTCCCTGAGATCCCGAACTCGTCTAAAGGCTGAAAACTAGGCACCGTTTAAACATTGTTTTTAATAACCATGGCGGACCCTCCGCCTATGCGCACACCGCCAACGCTTTTTTTAAATGGCGGGTGAAAAGCGGAAGCCTTGGGCAGCTTTCGAGCAGGGAGGGGGTTTAAACCGGAAGTGGCTCGACACTGGAGGAGCGATCGCACAGGGGAAAAATGCGTCTGGAGCCGGAGAAATAGGAAAACACCACTTGGGGACCTGGGTTGGGGACTCCGGGTTTAAAGCAGTTTTGAGCTGGAAAGCGATGGCTGGGGACGGGAGGCAGATGGTGACCGTGTGATCGTACAGATAAAATCCGTTTCTGAGATGGCCCGTCTGAACGCACCCAGAGTGTTGGACTGGATGGGCCATTGGCTTCTCTCTTATGTTTTTAAGTCACTTTGAGTCCCCATCGGGGAGAAAGGCAGGGTATAAATGAAGTAAACATATAAACACTTGTCTCATCAGTTGCTTTCAAGAGACTATTGAAGACTTGCAGGCCGGCTCTGAATCAGTTGCAGAAGATAATGGCATTCCCCCTTTCATTCTCAAACAGAACAAGTTGCCGTTTCGTCTAGAACAGCTGTCGCAATCCTGTTTGTTTCCAGGTGGTGTGGGAGGAGGGCAGGTTGTGTCCGTACAAAGTCCTCCTTATGTACATCTCATTGATTTCTCTCTTTTGCGTTAAATAAGGCAAAAGTGACAGGAAGCTCGCTGGGTGACCTTGGGCCAGTCATATCCTCTCAGCCTGGCCTACCTCACAGGATTGTTTGGGAGGGTAAAATGGTGGTGAGGAGAATGATAAGGCTATGTAGAAATGTCTACTCGATGCTCAGGAATATGCCTGTTTCCTTTCCCTCTCTCGTAGTGGGTAGTGTTTTCAGCGGAAACGTTTCCCTATGACTTCCTGGGACCAATAGGCACCTTCACAAGATACTTGGCGGAGAATCACAAGATCTTTGTTGATATCGGGTAAGCTGAATTTTTTAAAAAAGGAGCTCCAATTTCCGTGTGACTTTGCCCTCCTGGTTGTCACAGGGTGGGGATGGGGGCTTACGGGTCGGGGTCAGCAGCTTGGTCTTGATCGGGCGTGCTTGAGAAGGCAGTTCGGTGTACAAACCTGGGTGGTATAGGTCTGGGAGGTTTGTAGATGCAGTGCCCCCCTCCCCTTTAAAGCCCTGGGTCAACATGAACTGTAGCTGCATAAAGGGTACAGCTCAATGAGGGGCAAGAGAGCCCCCCCCCCACACATTTTAATTACATTTTGGTGAGGAATGCGCCAATCAGACTTCCTCCTCGGGTACTGGAATGGAATGGAAAAGGGGAGCTGCGGTGGCTCAAGTGGTTAAGACGCTGAACTGCAGGCTGTGGAAGGTCGGTCGTTCGGCGGTTCGAGACCCGAGTGCGCCGCATGACAGAGTGAGCTCCCGTCTCTGGTTCCAGCTCCTGCCAACCTAGCCATTCGAAAGCAAGAAATTACAAGTAGATAAATAGGTACCACTTCGGTGGGAAGGTAACAGCGGTCTGTGCGCCTCGGTGTTTACTCATGTCGGCCACGTGACCACGGAAACGTCTTCGGACAGCGCTGGCTCTTCGGCTTGGAAACGGAGATGAGCACCGCAACCCTAGAGTCGGATTTGAGCAAGGGAACCTTTACCTTTACTTTACTGGAATGTTTCAGGCCAGATAGGAAGCAACATAGTTCTATTGTATTATCTGGCGATATGCCGTGTAAGCCGCCCTGAGCCTCCGGGGAGGGCGGGATAGAAATGTAAATAATAAATAAATAAATAAAACCAATGCTTTTCCCTCTCATTTTCAGGTATGCCATTGTCTGGCTAATTCATGTTGGGGAAGCACTTTACTGTCTCAAGCTGTGCCGGTAAGTGTCTGTCTTTCTGTCTCTCTCTCTCTCTCCCTTCCCTCCCTTTGAAAATTTCAGAAACACCAGGTGAGGTCGAAAAAGGGCTACAGAATTGTGCCACTCCAGATGTGAGCTCTCCTATACAAAAACATTCCCTGCACATAGGAAGTGCTATGTTCGGTGTGTGTGTGTCTTGTTCTACTCTCTCCCTGACATGCCGGTTTTCTATGGGAAGGGATCTGTGGGGTGTCGAGCGTGTTTCGTCACAAGGTGTGAAGTAAAACCATCCAACTGCAGGTTTTCTACCTCATCTGCTAAGCCTGGGCCTGTATTAAGTTCTGCCTAGAACAGACTTTGGAGTTGTCTTACCCATTTTTTAAAAAAATTGAGATTGGTGGTGAGAGTTGTGATGTACTTCCTGATCGTAGATAAACAAATATAAAGCCAACAGTCGTGATAGTCTGACCCGCAATCAACAGTCATAAGACTTATAAGAATTACTGTACATGTATTGTGCTCTGAAGCATTACAATATGATACACAACTTCATTGAATTTATAAACCAAGGTACATAGAATTTATAAACCAAGGTACAATGTTGTCTCCGGATTATTTACCAATGTTTCAAAAAATTAATCTTCTTCAGGAGATTATACAGGTGCCAAAGCTCTCATTTTCATAAAAGTTAGACAAGTCTTAAGCATATCACAATTCAGATAGGACGCTGATCTCAATTAACAGGCAGTGTTTTTTTTCTGGATCCTGGTTTATATGTACCTTGGTTTATAAATTCTATTAAGTTGTGTATCATATTGTAATGCTTCAGAGCATAATACATGTACAGCAATTCTTATAAGTCTTATGACTTGATTGCGGGTCAGACTATCACGACTGTTGGCTTTATATTTGTCTTCCTGATCGTAGAGTCAGGTCCACGATGGCGATCCGTGCCTTCTCAATTAGATTTGAATCCAGTAGCACCTTCAATACCTGCAAGAGTTGTCAAGGCATAAGCTTTCAAGAGTCAGTGTTTTTTCAAGACCAGGACACCTCGGAAGTCTCTACAGGGGTGCGATTGCATGACTTAGTCCCTCGCAAGCCCTCCTAGGGGCAATAACAGTCGGTGGTAGCGTACGTTATCTGAAGACTGTTTCGAAGACAATCCTTCATCAAAGGGTTTGTTGAGTCAAGGTAGGTGCAGTGATGACCCTGCACACACCAAAATACTATTTCTTATCAAGTGGAGTCCAAGGCCTCTTCGCAAACTCACAACTCAATGGTATCAAGTCTAGCAGGCTTGCGCTTGTGGGCTATTTTGGATCGTACCACTTTTAAGTATCATCAGTCTGTGGTTTATGTGACTGTATGATGTGCACTACATTCTTTTGAACATTCTTTTGAAATGCTGTGTGTGCTTATATATTCAAAATATGCCTATGCGTATTACTATTTGCCTTAAAAACTCTTAGAGAGAGTTTCTGCCTTTTCATTTCTAGATTTACACTCTCCCTTCCCGGTTAGTTTTGTGCACATCCTGATAAGAGCATAAGCAGAGCCCTGCTGGTCCAGACCAGTGAGGGTCCATCAAGTCCAGCATCCTGTCTCATACAGCGGCCAACCAATTCCTCTCAAGGGCCAACAACAGGGCAGAGAGGCTGAGGCCTTCCTTGATAAGAACATCAGAAGAGCCCTGCTGGGTCAGACCAGTGAGGGTCCATCTAGTCCAGCCTCCTGTCTCACACAGTAACCAACCCGTTCCTCTGGAGGGCCAACAACAGGGCACAGAGGCCGAGGCCTTCCCCTGAGAAGAACATCAGAAGAGCCCTGCTGGATCCGACCAGTGAGGGTCCATCTAGTTCAGCATCCCATCTCACACAGTGGCTAGACAGTTCCTCTGGAAGGCCAACAACAGGGCACAGAGGCCGAGGCCTTCCTAAGAACATCAGAAAAGCCCTGCTGGGTCAGACCAGTGAGGGTCCCTCTAGTCCAGCCTCCTGTCTCACACAGGGGCCAGCCAGTTCCTCTGGAGGGCCAGCAATAGGGCAGAGAAGCCGAGGCCTTCCCCTGATAAGAACACCAGAAGAGCCCTGCTGGATCAGACCAGTGAGGGTCCATCTAGTCCAGCATCCTGTCTCACACAAGGGCCAGCCAGTTCCTCTGGCGGGCCAACAACAGGGCAGAGAGGCCGAGGCCTTCCCCTGAGGTTGCCTCCTGGCTCTGGGATTCAGAGGCTTAGTGCCCCTTAACGTGGAGGTTCCCCTCAGTCACCGGAGCCAGTAGTCACTGATAGACAGAATCATAGAGGATAGGTCTAATTAAAGCTGTTTATTCATGTGGCCACCACTCCTCTGGCAGTGAATTCCACATTTTAATCCCGCTCTGATCACAGTCGAGTGGCCCTTAAAGTGCTAGACAAAATTAGGGGGGGGGGAGATAAAAAGGTAGACACATCAGTTGATAGATAATTAGCAATAACTGATATTAAGACTTAAACAAAAAAAAACAAACCCCAAGGTATTGTAAAGGATTATAAAGGGTAGGGAAGAAAATAAGATTAAATTTGAGATTAAATTGATATGAAGTAGCATTACGGGATTAAATGGCTCATTTTGGTTAATCTGATTAAACTATTTAAATTGATTAACTTAATTAGTCAGGTATTAAAAGCATTGAATTAAAAAAACTCATATTTAATTAACTAGCGTTATAATACCGAATTAATACCTAAATACACAATTTGCATAAATTGAGGAATTAATTAATAAGTCATTAAAGAAGATAGGCACAAAAGGGCAAAACTATCATTGCAGACTAATTTGTAGACTATATTAGTACACTGGTATTAAAATAAATAAATTAACACTGCAAAGTAAGTACATGAATACATTTCAGAAGCGACATCTTAAAAAGCGTATCCAGTTACAGTCTAAAATTGTCATACACAAATTAAAGCTTTCTAACAAATCTAACAAGTTTAAAATGGCGTCAGGCTCTTCCGCCTCTCTGTTGTTGATCGGAGGTCTCTATGCCCCTCCCCACCTCCCCACCTCCCTCCCCAATGTCGACTTGTGCAGTATGAATAGCCGTTGAAAGTTGTCTGGCTTGTGTCTCCTCTGCAGGGACAAGGGCATCACAGATCCGTTGACCCAGTTCCGGTGGGTCGCTCAAACGTTTTGTTTTGGACTGACTTCCTTTTTCCTCTTGCTGATTTACACCCCGCCGAAGGAAGAAGACGGCGCCAGTGGACGACTCGACCGGAAGAAAAAGGAACACTAAAAAAAAATGCGGCCAGGGCTTTGGGTGTCGTTTTCTGCCTGAGGGTGGAGGTGTTGCGAACTACTTAGATGCTTGGAAAAAGTTTCCCATCTTCCAGAGGTGCCTCTTGGTATTGCAGCTCTAGGGGAAGTGAAGAAAGGAGCTTATGAAATTCTTCTTGATTAAACAGGGACCTTTATAATGTGGTCAGAGGAGGAAAAGCAAATGTCCCCCGCTACCAGTGGCCTTAGAGGGGCAGGAGGGCGTACCACTAGAACTTCCGTTTCTGAGACGCGTGATGTCTGGCTAATGGCTAATATCCCCCATCCACCCACCCGACACAGAGTTGCTGTGCCATTAATTTAGTGCCTTGGTGTCCTGCCCCCTTCCCCCAAGGGGCCCCGAGTGGCAGGCGTCAGCCCCACCGCCTCCGTTTTACCCTCACAACAACCCAGTGAGGTAGGTTACGCTGAGGGGGAGGAAAAAGCGGCCCAGGGGCCGAGTCAGGATCTGATTGACCGCCGCTGCTTCTGTCTCCAGAAGCATCTCTGGGACCTGCAGTCTCAGGCTTTGCTTTCACCTCCCCTGGCAACTTGAGGAATGGCGCCTCTGACAGCCCGAGAGTCTCCATGTTTATTATTTCGCTGTTTAAAACCTTTATCTCCTGCCTTTCCTCATGGCTCAAGGCAGCTTTACAGCCGTCGTTTAAAACGTTTTCCGTTAAAAGCCAAATAAAATAGCAAACCCCAGATCTCAAGCGGAAGCCCTGATGTGTTTACTGGGACCTCCTCCACAGTAAGCAGGATTCAGTGTTCCCTCTAAGCTGAGTTGGCATGAGCTAGCTCCCAGTTTTTTAGCCTCCGGCTCACACGTTTTTGTCTTCGCTCAGGAAGGGATGGCTCCAGGATCGCAGGGTCCACAGCCTGTCGTCTTTGGGCCAAGCTGGGTACGACGGTGTCTTTGTGGCTGCCCTGTGAGGATTTAGAGTGATTTTAAAATGCCAGAGCCCCGATCCCCGCCGGGCCTGCAGTGCAGCGGGGTGAGGGGCTCTTGTTTCTCCCCCTCCCTCCTGCATCTTACTAAGCACTAAAGGGGCTGTTTCCACTCTTGAAAACGCTTGGGGTGGATGGGTGGGTTTAAGAGTGCAGCACTGCACGCCCGGTCAGGATTGGGCCCTCGCAGCATTTTAAAATCAATTTAAAAGGACGACGGCGCCCTTGCAGCGGTCACAAGAATGCTATCCTCTCTAGGTTGGCCCTTTCTTGCACTTTCCCCCCCACCCCCCCAGCACTTTAGTCTGGTCGCTATGAAGTGATAAACGTTGCACTAAACGTGCCGTACAGCCGGGTCCGTTTTTGTTATGTGGCAGCTCATCTCTGGAGTTCTGGGACCAAACTGGATTCAGCCAGGAAGCAAGATGAACACAGCGCAGTTGCATTCTGGGAGATCCCTCCCGGTGGCTGGAGGAGGCCCACTTTTGGCAGTCGGAGAGAGACGCCTCTCGTCGGGGACTGTGTCGAAACCTACGCCCTACTTTGGATGGAGGCTAAGTTTGCAGAGCGGGCTTCCTTCAACCCTTCGACATTCTCGGTCAGACTTCCAGGAACCCGCTGCTGCTGAGTGTGGACGGCTCCCCTCGGATCTTCATGCACAGGATGTGACTCGGCACAGCAGTGGTCTCTGGAGTTCTGGGACCAAACTGGATTCAGCCAGGAAGCAAGATGAACACAGCGCAGTTGCATTCTGGGAGATCCCTCCCGGTGGCTGGAGGAGGCCCACTTTTGGCAGTCGGAGAGAGACGCCCCTCGTCAGGGACTGTGTCGAAACCTACGTCCTACTTTGGATGGAGGCTAAGTTTGCAGAGCGGACTTCCTTCAACCCTTCGACATTCCCGGCCAGACTTCCAGGAACCCGCTGCTGATGAGTGTGGACAGCTCCCCTCGGATCTTCACGCACAGGATGTGACTCGGCACAGCAGTGGGTTCAGGACCAGTAACAGATCTGCAGTGAGGCCGTTGTGGACCTTGGATTGATCCACGAGGCTGGGCCGAGGTGTGGATGCTATGAGGAAATGTTTACATTGTTCCAGTGTGTTGTGCTGCTAGTTTTTGGTAGGCAGCTACTCTCTCATCAGGACTGTAGGTACGTGTCATACACTGTGATGCTTCCTGAAGCTGCCCCCTGTACCTTTGGATTTGGGGCAGCTTTTAAGAACACTGGATGCTCTTCCGTTGCTTGCCAAAGCCCTTTTGCCTTCTGAAATCGTGTGCCTCTGCTGTTATAATCTGTCTTCTTAAAAGTCTGTTTCTTTCTTTTTTAAAAATAAATTTAAAGTAGAGACATCGCCCTGCCAACAAAAGCCCGCATGGTCAAAGCAATGGTATTCCCAGTAGTCACGTATGGCTGCGAGAGTTGGACTATAAGGCAGGCCGAGCGCTGAAGAATAGATTCTTTTGAACTCTGGTGCTGGAGAAGACTCTTGAGAGTCCCTTGGACTGCAAGAAGATCAAATCAGTCAATCCTCAAAGAAATCAACCCTGACTGTTCCCTGGAAGGCCAGATAATGAAACTGAAGCTCAAATACTTTGGCCACCAAATGAGAAGGGAGCACTCACTGGAGAAGACCCTGATGCTGGGAAAGATTGAAGGTCAAAGAAGACGGGGACGGCAAAGGATGAGATGGTTAGACAGTGTCATCGATGCAACAAACATGAAGTTGAGCCAACTTCAGAGGACGGCGGAAGACCGGAAGGCCTGGCGTGATCTGGTCCACGGGGTCGCGGAGAGTCGGACTCGACTGTGCGACCGAACAACAATGTCTTCTCAAAGCACAATACCACCAGTATCAAAGAAAGGCTCATTAAAAACACACAGTTTGTTGGCAGCATGTGGAGAAACATCAAAAAAAGGCACTTCAGCAAAGGCTTTGGAAGCTCAGTCATCGTAATTATCTGAAATTGCTCTTGATATCCAAGCTAATGAGACAAAGAGGTAGCTGGATGAAAAGACTGAACTTTGCAAATGCAGTGAAACCAAACACAAAGTGCAGGATGCAGCAAACGATCCGTCTTTTAAAATCTGGCTTCCAGGAAATGACCGAACAAAAAATGAAATACCCATAGGTGAAGAAGAGTTGGCAAGGGGGTAAGAGTGGCTGAAATTCTCCATAAAATGTCACAGTCCTCTTTCACAGACCACACAGAGAGGAGAGAACCATAAAGACAATGACAACAACAAAACAGTTACAAATAACACCAGTAACAATACTGTCAAGTTATAACTTCTAAATTTTTCTACTGGCCATTATTTCCACAGTGGCATAGCTGCCCTACCAAACCGGGCAAATCCATGTACTTTTGAATTTAAAAAGTAATTAAACAGCCTTCCAAAAAACCCTGTCTTCTACCATTAAAGATATTCATTTCAGAGTCATTTACAGGCCAAGGAAGTTCTACAATTTTTAGACATTTCTCGGAAGTCCCTTTTAAAGGCATCAGTGTCAGACCTTAAAGATTCTTCTTTTTCTGTAGACGTACAGGAGTGTCTCTTGAAAGATAGCTTTCCCCATTCTCTATAGTGTATGTACTGAGATACAAATCTGAGTAGCTTTTGGTGATTGTAGTTCTTATATTATATTGTATCTAGAGATAGGTTATGGGCCATTAGTGGTGAATAATTCTTGTAGTGTTGTGTTTCGTGATGGGTACTTCTTCTGGGACCTGTTTGACTGCCAGCCTTGACTCTATTAAACAATCTTTAAAAATAATAAAATATTAATGTTTCGAATTATTTGATTTGTCTTCTCATTTGGGTGTTTAAAACGTGTGTTAGCCACCTTTCTACCTCATACAAATCAAGGCAGCTTACCACAGAAATAAAACAATGGTTATTAAAAAACACATAAGACCACAATTTAAAGTAAAAGGTAAAGGTTCCCTTGCTCGAAAGCCAGTCGAATCCGACTCTAGGGTTGCAGTGCTCATCTCCGTTTCAAAGCCGAAGAGCCAGCGCTGTCCGAAGACGTTTCCGTGGTCATGTGGCAGGCATGACTAAACATCAAGGTGCACAGAACGCTGGTACCTTCCCACCGAAGTGGTACCTATTTAAAGTAAAGGTAAAGGTTCCCTTGCTCGAAAGCCAGTCGAATCCGACTCTTGGGTTGCAGTGCTCATCTCCGTTTCAAAGCCGAAGAGCCAGCGCTGTCCGAAGATGTTTCTGTGGTCATGTGGCCGGCACGGCTAAACACCAAGGCGCACGGAACACTGTTACCTTCCCACCAAAGTGGTACCTATTTATCTACTTGCCATTTCTTGCTTTCGAACTGCTAGGTTGGCAGGAGCTGGAACTAGAGATGGGAGCTCACTCCATCATGCGGCACACTCGGGTCTCGAACTGCTGAACTACTGACCTTCCACAGCCTGCAGTTCAGTGTCTTAACCACTTGAGCCACCGCAGCTCAATACCTATTTATCTACTTGCAATTTCTTGCTTTCAAACTGCTAGGTTGGCAGGAGCTGGAATTAGAGACGGGAGCTCACTCCGTCATGCGGCACACTTGGGTCTCGAACTGCTAAATGACTGACCTTCCACAGCCTGCAGTTCAGCGTCTTAACCACTTGAGCCACCGCAGCTCCTAAGACCACAATTTAGTAACTCCAATTAACACTGCCATTAAATAAAAACGAAATAAGTCAAATGTGGTCCTAAATAAAACTGTCTACTGGAGATGGAAGGTGAGGGTTGCAGGCTTACCTCCCCGAGGGGCTTGTTCTGTAATTACGGGGCTGCCACTGAAAAGGCTCTCTCTCGTGTACCCACCAAACAAGCATCAAGGGGTCCTCTCCTTGTGATCTTAATTCCCGGGAAGGAATTTATCGGAGAAGATGGTCATTCAGGTACCCCAGTCCGAAGCCACGTAGGGCTTTAAAGGACAAAACCAGCCTCTTGAATTGGGATCGAGAGCAAATTGGTAGCCAGTGAATTGCTGTCGTATCAGGTGCTCCTGATAACCTTGGGCCGGTCAGCAGTCCAGCCACAGCTTCCTGTTCCAGCTGCAGCTTTTGAACACTCTTCAAGGGTAGCTCCAAGTAGAGTGTATTGCAGTAGTCCAGTCTAGCGGTAACTGAGGAATAGACCATTGTGGCTAGGTCCAACTGAGCCAGGAATAGATGCAGCTGAATCACCAGCCAAAGCTGGGCAAAAGCACACTCAGCCCCACTGCAGCAGCAGCAGCATTCCTATTTAGTGCAGCCTGCATTTAGAGCCCTATAAGACTCCTTGGGGACTTCTAAGGTGGACTTGTTCTGCAGTAGTTGCCGCTCCCAAATGTTCTTCAAGGATATCTCCACTGCCACACTTCATGCATTTTTTTAAAAAACCACTGTTCTTGGTGAGGATGGAATGACCAAAGGCCACTCCTGCCTTCTATTACCCTCTTCCTTCCTTCCTCCTCTCTAAATGAACCTCATGGGCTGTTTGGCAGGCCTCAGCCAGTAGGAAAATGCCTTGTACGGGGCCAGAATGTTGGTTTATCATGTCCCACACGGTCTGCTCTGGCTCTTGCTCTGCTGGGTCTCAGGGAGGGAAGAGTCTTCATTGATAATCCTCTAGCCAGCAATGCCAGGCACTGAACTTGGGCTGTTCTGCACGTAAGGTGCCGCATCCGTGTTGCTGAATCACGCAAGCCCTCGCATCTTACGCGAGAAGGTATTTTTATGCCAGGTTGTCGTCATCTTCGTCTTCTTCTGGAATGAAGCTTTCTCTTGCATTCGTGCTTTGAATGCTACTGGCTAGCCAAACCTGCACCATTCCCAGTTTGATGGCTTGATTGTGACGATGTTTTGCATGTGGAATTGGATGGAGTAGACACCTTTCAGGGGGAAACAATGACTGCCACCTTAATATCTGCTTAGCAGGAAATTTGGCTATTTGGCCCATTTGCACATACCACCAGGGGTCATTTCCTGCAGGAGCGCACAGGAGCGGAGCTCCGGCAGTAAAGAGCCTAGGGGGTGGGCACATGCAACAAGCCCCCCCCCCTGCTCCCAGCAGCCCTCAGTCGGAGCAAGAAGCAGCCAGGTAAGCTACAGAGCCCCCCCCCGGCCCAAAACAGTCCAGTGGCACCTTTAAGACCAAGTTTCATTCAGGTACAAGCTCTCCCTCCTCTGCGAGGACAGATCTGCAAGTCCCCCCCCCCAATATCCAGCAATCCAAAACAGTCCAGCAGAGCCTGAGCGGTGGGTGTTGCCTTCTGACACACTTCCGGTGATGTCAGGGGGTGTGGCATATGCAAATAAGTTATGCTAATGAGTTATCCTAATGAGCTCCTGCACCTCTATTTCTACGAAATGACCCCTGCTTACCACCCCATGTCAAATCCCTTCGGCTGCACTAAATCTACTTTCGATCCACTTTCCAACTGGATTTTTTCTGGTTCACACAGTACAATCCAGTTGCAAAGTGCACTGAAAGTGGATTGTTTAGTGTTTGTGACCACAACCTTCATCAGAATTTTGACTCACGAAAGCTTATACCCTGGAAACTTTGTTGGTCTCTCTGGGGCTTACTGGAGTCAGATCCAGCTGCCTGGCTGTCATGGCACTGGAGAGAAACATTGGGTTGGATGACCTTGGCGTTACA